ATAACATAATGAATAAAATATTTTTTGTTAAAATTAAATCAACTCACTAATTCGTCACATATAACTAAAAGTAAAATAAATTAATATAATAACAACATAAATATATCATATTATAAAATATTCTTGACGGTAATATTATATATAGTTTGACACACCTTCTTTGCTCAGTATCTTTTTTCGTATGCAATGATTGATAAATAATTAAATTCAAATAATTTAACACATACATTTACAGTGACGTAGGTAGCTTAATGACGAAGTACTTATACTTCAGTTTAACTCCACATTTTTTTATATTAGAGGGGTTAGAAAGATACCACTTTGTTATTGAATTTTTCACAATATAATGTTCTTATAGTTAATATTCAAATTATATTTTTTAACATAACAAATWACAAAACAATAMAAAAAATATATATGTACACGTATATGAAGAAAAATTTTATTTTTTTATTAACAATAAGTAAATAACATCAAAATAATATAAACAAATGTTTRTTGATGCCAGTTGAGTTTTCATGTTCCAACGTCTATAGATAACATGTTTCATCCATGCTCGTCTAAGAACATTAAAATATCAAAAATATAAATATATATAATATTCCATGTAACGAAACGAGAAATTAGGACCAAACATGTATTTACTTATTTTGTAGTAATATTCCATCATTTTAGTGGTTTAAAAATATCTCAAACCATAAACTATAATGATAAATGTTTAATTGTATACAGTTACAGTATAATCCAATAGAACTGCGCTGCAATGTTTCAAAATTTTTTTAAGTGTGCATAATATAGGTGGCATAGGTGCATATAATATATAAGTAATAACTTTATAGAGATTTAGTGGTATTAATTCATTCATAATTCATAGAGAAATACATCAAACATATTTATGGCGGTCTTTTTTGAATAAATGTGATAGAATACATCAAATTCTGACTAGGTATTCAAAAACAAATATAAAAATATAMATATAACATAATATTCGAGTTTGAAAATATTATTGTATTCAATTTTCTATGTTAATGCTGAAAATTTGAAAATAATAACCAAACAAATAATTTTTTCTATTTGAGAAAGCAAGGATTTTCAATTTTTTTTATTCATTGGGTTATATGAAAATTTAAAAAAATACTTGCACCAGATCATTTTGTATATATTAAAAATATGTCATTTTCATACTATTTAGAAAAAAAGGTRTTRTTATTTTTTTATTTTACAAAATTGTATATTTATAAATCGTAATTAAACACCCAGGTATATTATTACAAAATTATTTTTATCCTAGTGTGTACATTTGATGCGTTCGCGATTTTAAATCGCGGCGTTTTTAAAAACGCGAATGCGAGCATTTGAATTGCCTAGTGTGTAATCCACTTATTACTCTCAATCAACCATTGCCTATCGTAAATGGAAGCATGAAGTTGATTTCTTAGTATAAACAGGCTATTTACAAAACTAAAATATCTTAAAGTAGTCACACTTTGGATGGCTTATATTTTCATCAAATTCAAAATATGAATAAATATGCTTTACTGCATGACGTTGGTATACTATTTTATAAAAATRTTAATAACAATAATTGTTATTTGTTAATGTATGAATTATACTCGTGTAGAACTTTATATATAATTTTACTGATTTTGATTATAGCTACTTTACATTCGATTTGATATTATGTACACCTATATAGAAATATACCAATGTAATTAAAATTGAAAAAATATTTAAAAATAATTATTATAATTTAATCTATTTTAGTTATTAGAACAGTGCTTTTCAACTTGAGGGCCGTGGCGATATGACTGCAGAGGGGCCTTAAAATATTTATTTCATTTAAAATATTTTTGGTTATTTAGTTATATTATAACCGATCATATGATTAATCATTGTCGTCTGTCGATAARGTCTAATGTTAGATTACTATTAAATAATAATAAAATTGTGAGGGGGGCTCAACAGTTTTACATTAAATATAGGGGGCCTTATAACAAAAAAGGTTTAGAGCACTGTATTAGAATAAATAGGTACCTACCAACGATATACCTAATGTAAACATTATTTAGACAAATCAAAATTAAGTCTGATGCGTAGTACATTTCAAATCGATTTGCATATAGTAGGATATAGTTTCTTTATAAAGTCATAAGTACTTATTAAATAGGTAATTAACAAAAAATAGAAAAAAAATNTGATGCGTAGTACATTTCAAATCGATTTGCATATAGTAGGATATAGTTTCTTTATAAAGTCATAAGTACTTATTAAATAGGTAATTAACAAAAAAAAAAAAAAAAATTGCATCATAAAATTTAAAATTAAACTAAATTTAAACACGCAATGAACAAATGGGATAGCTAATAATCGCTTCTACATCTTCAATAATACATTATTCTAAAAGCGAGGATTATTTAGTATTATAATTAGTTTTTAAGGTTGTATTCTCACGCTGAGTTCATGTTTACATATAATTGATATTATTCAAATCTGCGTGTACACATAGCCGAATTATATAAAGTACCTATCTAACGGTGGTTTTCTTCATAAATAACGCATAAAAATATTATACATTACTCATTGTGTGTTTAAGTATTGGATCACGTTTTAACTGTACAGTCGATTCTAGAGACTATAGTTTTTGGTATATTTTAATGTATACCACTACCAGAATATAATATGATTCTATAAAATATTAACAAATAATAATAATTGAATGGTTTCGAWGATAATATAATACTACCTTTGTGACTCGAAGTGTTAATAATTAATAATAATATATTTTGTTTTGTTAYAGTTTGAGTATCTTTATCTTAAATAATTTTTTTTTTCGTATGCTGTGGTTGATTTTATTTAACATCGATGATACATAAAAAAATATTAAATTCTTCTATAAAATATAATAACAGATATTAAAGTATAAAAAATATTATACTTATAGATTATACATTTCGTTATATTTTTCTACTAGGACAATTTCAACAGTTCAAAACTTTGTCRTAAGTTAGATATTATGTATTTCGTCTAATACGATCATTACTTATTGAACAAATTCATCACATCACAYATTTTTATTAATTAAGGTTACGATCTCGATAAACATAAAAATACCGTTCAATTTTAGACGATAGACAATTGTCTTTTGATCGAGTAAACACATGATTTATCTATCRTGTATACTTTTATGATAATTTATTAGATATTTTGTTTASGTCAAATAATTTTCGTATGCAAAAGTATTTCATATTTTTCAAAATATTATATTAAGATAAATGCATATATTATTTTGTCAATAACATATAATTATTTATCAAGAAGTTTAGATAAAAACATATCTGTACAACTTAGTTAACAAATATAAGATTTGTTTCTGTAACATAAGTAGAGTAATTATTTGAAAATGTATACTAATAGAGGATTATGTATCAAAAATAATACGATTTTTGTATAAATATATATATATATTTTTTTTTTTTAATTAAAAACACTTCATAATATTTTACTTTTTAAAGTAGGTACCTCTTTGAATTGCGCTAGTGTTACTTAATTTTTGACGTCTTCACTTTTGTGAAAACGATTGTTGATATAATAATAAATATTCATTGTAAATTTATTATATTATATATACTTATTTATAAAGTTACAATATTTGGTTTTAAACAGCAGAAAAAAAAATACATACAGTTTTCGAATATTRATATAAGTGATATGATCATATTATTATATAGTTTCTATGATAAATTACTATATAGGTAATAATATTTTAAAGCACACCTAATTCACTACCTATCATAAAGTATTATGTACATTTTAAGAGGTATACTAAGACGCATGTAATCTATAAACTATCACATTATTTCATTCAATAAATTACTTATAARATAATCAAAATTTATGGGCACGTCAAATAAAATTGTATATTATAATATATTATTGTTATATTATAAGTTGATAAATAAATAAAATAATAAACAATGTGTTTTACTAAACCCATAGCGTGATACACTGTACTAAAAATCTCACAGTTCRCACTATGAAACAAAAAAAAATAAATAAATAACTTACTGACTAAACAATACAGTACTACGTTATAAGGCTAATGAGAGTGAGAACCGGGATTGTAAGGCGTATAATAAATATATTTGAAATCGATTTAGTTTACTATAATATATATAATAATAATTGACTCCTGAGAGTAGAGACATTATTGCGCATAAAGAGCAGCGTGCAGAGATTTACCAAGGATAAACAGCCATATARTTTTACTTAAAAACTATTAAAATAATATGTGTGATATTTAACAGTGGTTAAATCGAGTGTTTTTTACCTTACGATAACATAAATAWCTTTGTCTAAGGGGATTATTAGTAGCACTAGTTTGAGCATTGCGCTTCGATAGGTACATTTTGTTTGAATCATATTATTAAGAATAATAATATTACGATAAATTTTCATATAAGCTTCTTTAGCACCTATATATTTTTATAATAATATAAGTATAAGCAGTTTTATTTACTTTTAAGTCAAATTTCAACAGTTGTATACGTATACGGTAGATACACATAATAACCAATGATCGATTGTCTTTGTACAATTATTATTGTTTGGTTAGGTATGTCTATGACCGCTGCCCTATATCTACGAATTGAGGTGACTAGATGTGTGTGTATAATATATTATTATTATATTACTTTGTTCTATACCTATACGTAAATGTTGCGCGTGYCTCGTTAGCGTTAAGCGCATTAAAAAAATAATAATAATTAAGTGATTCGATATTGTCAAGGATGAATAACTGTAACGCCTTAATTACTAAAATCGTGTGAACTGTACTTATGCACAGAGCGGTGGTGGACCGAGTAGAAAAATTTTGTATTTGTATTTTTTTTGATTAATGTTAAAAATCTTTAATTTTTATTCGGTGAGTCACTAGTCAGTCGTCATCATAGACCGATCATGTTGCACGTCTGATAGAGGATGCGACAGTCTTCTCCATTTTGGCCTTCCTTTGCGGCTTGTACATAACGCCACAGTCTCGCCGCGTCCGCGCTGACGCCCGTTCTTCCTCCGGAACTCGCAGCCGTCTCGCTGTATACAAAAAGAAAAACAGAGTTATTAATGAGATTAATGTAGGTGCCCGGTACCCATTGTAATCTTTAACGGTATATAAATATCTCATCGGAGTTCCTCTCGGACTCATGCCCGCACCACCATATGGTATAGATACGACGAACATCATAAAACATGACCTATAACATTACAGTGATCACTGATCACCCRACGCAACCTCTGGAGAACAGATGTTGGAAGGCTTTTGTATTAAAGTCATTAGGTTCTATACATCACGATAGATAGGATACCGGTACCTATGCACGTCATGGTGAACAATCAGTCTTAAACGTATTGTAGTTGTTATTATATTATAAAACGTGTAATCCATCAGTACTTACACGSTACGCTACAGTGTACGGCGAAGCGCACTTTAGCTTAGGCATGACAAATTACTATTATATTAGAAATAAAAACGATGTCGATGGCCAAATAGTGACCGCGACCAAAGAAGCGAAAATTTTAACAACCTTGTAAGCGTATTGTACCGTCCAACTGCAGGTTACCCGAGTAATCAAGACGCGTATTATAAGTGCTGGAGTGGTCGCGAAAACATGAAATGAATTGTTTCATATTTTGAAAATGAATAACCCCTTTGCTATAAAAAAAAAAACCATGCCACCAAAATGGTACTTTGCCATTAATGTGATAGTGTTAGGTTTTTTTTCTCCAAAAATATATTACTCTAAATGAACCTATATTGTATGGGACAACACTGCAAATCGCAAGGCAACGGTTTCGAACACGCGCTGAAGACTGTTGTAGGTAGATTACAAGTAGTTTTCATTGTGCTATTATTATTATTATTATTATAGTTAATAATATTAACTCGACATTTTGTGCACTTTTTATATCGTAGTTAAGTCAGATAGACTTACTCGGATTGTCTCATTTTAACCACGGTAAAAAAAAATCATTTACAGTTATAGTTTGCGTATTGAAATGATATTTTATATTTTTACTATGAATCATGCTTATATTAACGAGTGGGCGTGGCGTGTGAAGTTACAGTGTTTTTTAATATTTTGTTTTATTTCATAGTGATAAACTGGTTCTATATATTACTAGGTAGAGCGCATCTGAATTTTTTTATTTTTATTTTTATATTCATCCAAAAAACATTTCATATATTTTTATGCGGAATATCACATAACCAGTTCAACGCTGAAAAAAAATCATCATACACAAATGTTAAATGAATCATAAGCACGTGATGAAAGTAATATACCTACTAATATAATATCTCAATAAATATTTAAATAAATTATTTTTTTTGTAATTTCAAGAATTTTTTTGTCACGTGCAAATTGTAAAATATGTCCAGCACGGTAATAGCATGAATGATAAAAAAGGTCCATTATTTACGTACTTAAATTAAATTTTAAAATCAACTAATAGAATTTAATATATTCCGTCAAAAAATTAAAATGTGCCAATACAAACTAAAACCAATGGTAAAATGTATAGGTTTAATGAACTATTCCAATATAGGTACAAAGTCCCAAAAATATAAATATTTTACAATAAATTAATTTTCATTTTCACCGGAAATAAAAAAAAATAATCTTAATTAGGAGACCAATACTTATATTAGAATATTGGAATATATATAGCATATTAGTAAAGTAAAACTATAAAAATAAATTTCACATGTTTTGTAGTAGATGCAACAGCCATGCATTATGATTTATGACGATGTATCCGGATAAATAAACATTATGTGTATTTTGTATGATACTGTTTATTTTTATTCATAATTGTATTGTGTATATTTTTGATGTTTAATGAGAATAACCTCATGGTAAATTATTTTCAGAAATTAAACATATTGCACTAAATTTGAAAATCTGGGCCCAGCTACTAATATTCAACAATCGCTTACACTCCGCCAGAAGTCGTAGCATCTTAATAGGATTTTCATCGTTAGTAATTTAATGTTAAATTTTATCGAGCAGTATCTATAGATAATAGGTATACGCACTTGGCCATTATTGGAGAATAGCCGCACAAATATTTACTTGGATCGTAATCAACCCGGAGAATCTAGAGTAGTCTTTATGTGGTATATTATAGCTCGAGACTACGTTCAACTCTTAATAAAATCAAATAGGTTTCAAGTGTTTCAACACGTTTGAAGTGGTGTATTTATGGTAAAAACTAGATTTTATTTACGCAATCGTTTTAATTGTGTTCGTCGAATATAGGAATAGTATTTTCGTATCTAAAACAGTCGGAAAAATTAGGTTTGAAGATGGCTGCCCGCGATGTCCATTCCTGAGCGTGTGCCACGAGGGCAATAATAATGCATCCAGTTTTACGGGATGACAAGCTGGTTGTGCAGACATTTTCCTAGTATCTACGTATGTGTCAATGAATCGGCAACKAATTTATGTCAATGTGCTAACAATAAAATCACGTACGAAAAATATAATAATAATAATAATAATAACAACAACGATAATGATAGTGATAGAAATAATAACACATTTGTTACAATGACTGGAGAGGAAGCGATCCATTATGAATCATGAAAATATAAAGAAATTGTATTAGTTGCGTGCGTATGACGTTGTGATGATGTTCAGAAGAAACCTGCTGTCTGTGGGCGGAATTATTGAAGAGATGAAATGAAAGTACCCAAGGACATTGTTTTTTAGTTTTTTTTTTTAAATTATATTTTGTTAGCCCGATCATAATAATTAATACGTGCCGCATCGCAATGGTGTAGTAGAGGTATCTATAACGCATTATTATGTCAAAGAAAGTGACCTATGGCAAGGAGATTTCAATATTATTATTATTATTATTATTTATTATTATTATTATTATTATTGTTATTATTACTATTATTGTATACATTGGGTTTGGATTTTTCATTGTCCTATATTTGTACCGTGGACAAATCAAATACGATTAATATAAGACAGTCAATTACATCTGTATTCTGTTTATTCCAACAATGTCTAAGTTTTATTATTACATACTATATTATAATATGTATTATGTTTGTGGTTATTTGTATTATTTTATGACAACATACATTCTGTTTGTCGTTTGTGATGAACAAGTCGTTTTCATGCAATTATCATAAAAGACAATAACGATATACTACGAGTCATGGTAATTATGTTATTCCCACGCGTATTTCATGTTTAACTACCTAGTTCTTAATCACTTACATGTATTATTGTCTATTGAAATAATGACAAATCTGTATACTAGGTTTTAATTTATAATTAATATACGACTTTATTCTTGAGCCAGTTCAGTTATTATTTATGGGCGTCGAAAGAAATGGCGGGTTAACATTTGACATTCTATAATCACCGGTGTTGAATATAAGTACCAATGGATCGTTCGTTTACCATTATAAGTAGTTATTCTTATTATTAAATGAGATGATTTCGAACGAAACGGATTAAGATGAAATCGATACAGATAAAACAATATATTTTAATATAATATACCTGATAATTATTTCTGTTATTAGCCTGATCGATAACATCGTTGTGAAAATAATTTTTATTTACCATACAAATGTATAACTAAATATAAACGAGCTGTTCGGTTGAGTTTTAGTTTTTTTAAAATTATTATAGTGAATTTCTTCAATATAAAATAAAACATTAGTAGGTACAACTAATGTCGATAATTAGTCGATCAAATAATACATCYCTACTTATATATTTTTAAATTGATTATAATATGTTAATATGCATTTCGTTTAATTTATTGCACACAAAAAAAGTGTGATACTTTTGATGATCAAAAGAATGTTAAKGTAATTCTTTAGTTAGGTAGATAGGGTAAATTACCTATAAGATACATTATGCTTAAAATGATTGTATAGTTATATTGTATTTTATAAAGAATATCGTAAATACCTAATAAAAAATTAAATGTGAATAGTATGATGGCAAATAACGTACGATTTCAATGTCATCCCAAATAATTATAATTACTTACATTTATGACGAAACGCTTTAAAATTAATTTTATCAAATTTCAACAAATATTTTAATTTATTTAAATATCCCAATCATGTTATAATAAACATAATAATACCTATTATAGAAAAAATATCGGCCCAGAAATGATTTTAATATACCAATAATGAAATGATTCGGACTCGTCCAACCAAAATATTATACCTACTGGTTAGTGCATTGTTTAATCGATGAGACATAATATTATTATGTAGAACACGCGTGCATCATAAAAATATTATATTTACACAGTGATGAGTATCTCTTTTCTTTTTAAAATTTTTTTTCTCGCAATTGAATTAATCAAATTTCACAAAATTATACCATACGTGCTTCTCGCGTACACTTTCGCGGTATACGCTTCGTTCAAATGTGGTTTCGGTCTGATAAATCTACACGTCGTTATGGTTTTTAGGTGTAGGTAGTAGGTACCTATGTATATATTATACTGTGGCGGCGCGTAAAAGGCTCATAATATTATAATATGTGATGACAGTACGACACTCACACACACTCACAATATAGCGACATGTGTAAATATTTGTCAGAGAACTCGTGTAGTGAGTAATATATAATAATATAAAACACGCCACACCAGGGTTGTAATTCTAATTCAATTTAGAAGTATGCCAAATTTAAGACGGGCCAACGAATTTCCTCTTTTACGGGCCATTTCAAGAGACCGTTTCACACCATTTCAAGAGACCGTTTCACACCATTTCACAGATAAACGCATGTTACAATATTGTACCTTCAAAGCATATTAAATATTAACTAATTAAATTTTGTCTCGGTGCATTAAAATAGAGCAAATTTCACATATTTAACCCCGGGTGCGTTTTTGTACATTTACGTGTGTACAATTCGTCGTCAATCATCATTCATCTATATAACTATGGACGGCTTGTATCTATAATATTGTATTAAATTGTTACTTATGTATATTGTATAATTTAATACTATATTTTATATAATTATAATGCTATTATTGTCGTATATTTACGATGGCAACAAAATGATTTCCATCGATATATTGTGTAGTTTTTCGTTTCGCGGCGGCGAACGCCGTACCGATGCGATTTCTATACAAATACTATATCCGACCCGTGTTAGACAAGTTCAAGGCCGTGACCTATAATGGATTATCATAACTTAGTAATCCCATCGGCCGGAGGCGGCGCGCAAAGTAGGTCATCCCAGCCACAGACGGGTAGTGAACAGGTTATATACAAGTGGGTCGCGCGGCGCGGGTCGATTTTTTTATGTCGTTATTTATTTATATTTTTCTTCATTGGGAAACAAGAAAAAATGTCCCGGAAGTAGGTGAACGGGTTTGTACTTCCCCTCTTTCCCACCTCACTCAAATCCCCTTCCGCTTCCTAAGCCGTAAACACGTAAATTCGAAACCAACAATATCGTACGTTATAAAAATATGATAAATTATCAGTATATAACGCAATGTTTTATGCACGTAATACATAACAATTTTTAAAATCAGAAATCATCAATACGATATTACCTGCTCAATTGCGCGGACACCAGGTTGCTGTGTGGACTGAATCTGCCGGGGTCGCCGTACATCTTGCACACTAATTTCTCTTTGCATGATTCCTCGGGCACAGCCAATTCATGGAATATCTCATCCAATTTCTGTACGATCGGAGTGTACACTGGGTCGTGCGTCGCCACCTGTTGCAGCGCGGGCGGCGGTCTCACCAAGGCCTGAAATTATATGCGTCGGTGGTCGCGTTTAGTTCATAACATAACAATGAACACAAACAAGATATTATCAATACATAAGTATAATTAACATCATTATTCACGGCATCAATGAGACGATGAATATGGAAAACAAAAATTACCCCTTTTTTGCACGCCCTCTCAAAAAGTATGAGTTCGCCTTGATTATAAGTCTGAAGTGTAATATATTATATAGAAACTGAACACTAAGATAATGTATATAAGTAATGTATATGTGTAATTGTATCGATGATAAACGATGGTAGAGATAAGGAAGTGCTATAATATATTACACAAACAGTTCCCACATTGTCGTCTAAACGAAAAAGGAAGGTATAATACCAATACTATACGGCTATACGCTGAASTATTGATGATGACGAAACTCGTTCTAGTCGCCCATAAAACTACATAATATGTAATGTGTTGATGTACACCCGGAACAAGTTTAGCTTATTATTTATTACTAACGAAGAGTTTAAATACCTTAAGCGCTAAACTTGATCGCGTATTCGCGGGCAGCGTCACACAGATTATAATATTCAAATATTTACATTAATTTGACAGGCTATACGTCATTATGCTATAGGTATTTCAGTGCAGTATACTTTCGGAAACTAAAAATCTCTTCCACTCAACATCAATATTGATAGGTAGGTAATTAAATATTAATTTATTGTCAAAACGCTTGTGTTTTTTGATTTAGTAACATGTATCAGTGGCGTGGCGAACTTTATTGTTATGAGGCACAGTTATATTGTCAGACCCACCACCATACCATGCCATGGGGTACACATCACAAAAAACATTAAACATTCTTTTTAAGATAAAATATATTTATTCATTTGAATAATAATACTTTTTTTAACACATCGGATGATCTTTGAGGACACCCACCACCCCTCAAACTGAGGCACGTGCCTCAAATATAATCCTTCGTCACGCCACTGACATGTATTTTCACTAAAACGTAAGACAATATTATTTTATTTCCGTGTCCATGTGTGCATTATTTGTCCTAATATTTGTCTACTGTAATAAGATTTATAGGTCAAACCGAGCGAATAAAAACATCTAGCTCCGTTCATATTGGACGAGGATTTACTTCATATCTACTATATATATTATTCGACCTTGCTGCCCTGCAGCATTTAGACATATATTATTATGAATACATAATATGTGTTTCGAACACGTCGGTTTAGAATTTAGCAGAGAAAAAACTAAATATCGACTACTACTAATCATCGAGTTCTCCACGGGTCATGTGGTACACTAATTGGAAAAATTAAGATCAATACTTACGGGATTGTTGTCCAACCTCTTGACGTACTTCTCAGCGTACGGCGATGGTGGAGGACCTCCACCGCCGTCGCCACCATACTTGAGTGGTTCGTACTGCGCGGGCGATGCCGAATAAGAGTATTTGGGGGCGTCGTACTGTGACGTGCCTTCCCCGTAATCACCCAACCCCCAACTGGCCAGCTCGTCTGCATGGTCCGAAACCACGTTGTTCATTTCCAAACCATTACGGTTGTAATAGTCACTGCCGCCACCCAAAGTCTAAAACGATCGTCGAAATCAATAAAATTCATAATTAAACAATTAAATTGCGTTGTGGTCAGGTAAGTTTGAATATTATCATCGCAATAATAACCAAACAAATGTTACATTATGATAGGTAGGTAAGTAGGTATACCTCGGGAGAGTCGTATGGTCCTGGTGGCGGAGGATGATCCAACGTGGGACCTGCAGGATAGTAATCGCTGTGGTAGCTCGGTGGTGGTTTGATTGGAACAGGTACCGGTACAGGGATCTTGAGGTGGTGGTGATGGTGCTTCACCTGAAACAATCGATATCATAAATCAATGACACGGTTATATTATTATTATTATTATGATTATGAATTATTAAAAAGCACATGCGCGTTAACTATTTATACATTGAATGGATCTCGAATACCTACAGCGCATGTCGCTTTCGCCAAAATAATAATATGATGACACATAATCTAAAGACAGTCTAAACAGCGATGGTTAAAATAATATTAATGAGAGCTGTTAGTTGCAAGAAAGCGATGTTTTTAATGTGTACATTATTATAAACGAGACGACGAGAGCACGTAACGAAGTCTCGGTGTGATGGTATAATTATGACAAATGGACACATAAGTTATTTCATTATATATGTTTCATGACCCCCTAAGTCATCGTTGTCTCTACATGTATAATGAATAGAATTTCACTAATTATTATCTTATCGTCATTCTGTAAAATTACTGTATAACAACGTGGGCTCATTCGATAATTTGATTTCGAATAAGTTTTATGTTTAATATGAATCTATACATTTGTAGGTGCTGTTTGTACCAATTAAATTATGTTCAATTAGAAGATGAGTGTGTAATTTCACATCAGTCAATATGAACAAAAAATAGGATAAGGTAATTGTAATTCCTTAAAAATGATAGGCCACAGACAACGAACTTAATCACAAACCGTTATCGACGTACGATCGAAAGTTGGATTTATGCACAATACTGGTATATCGACTGATATAAAATTGCGCATAGGTACTCTACGATATAATGTACGATTGTGAAGTTTCATATTTTTGATATAACGATTGCAAAAAAATTTTCGAGTAACGTTGTCAGTTTCAATTCCTATTGATAGTTGTATCATTATATAATAATATTGAAATAATGAAACGATTGAAAAAAACATATTTGAAATCATGGCATACAAAAATTATGATCATATTACTTCCAAAATGAATTGTTTCAAAGAGTTAAGACAAACTAAGGATGAAGACACAAGGTATCTAAAAATATCTTTTGGCCTTGGCTAAAATCAACTAATGAATAAATCTTATTTTTTATGTTAAAAACGATACGGACTGATGAGGGCGCATTTTTTCTGATAACATTTTTACATACCTTGTGATGGTGGAAGTGATAGAACTTGGAGGCATGATGATGATAGTACGAACATAGCTTGAACAAATGAGCCAACGGCGGGAAGATGAACAGTAGGACTTTGAGCAGTATCTTCTTGGCGGCGCTCGCTCCGATCAACAGCGGCAATAGGAATATCAGCTTGATTTTGATGAGTTTGATGATTAACATCAGAGCCATTCCGCTAGACATGAGTTTCTTTTTGAACAGTTGCTCTGGAAAAATCATACAATATACACGTCTGTTATTATCTTCAAGATTCAGAGCATTTAATTTTTATACGCTAAACAATTTTGATACATGCACTTACAAAAAACTTGAAATATGTGATTAAGTATTATAAATAATTATGCAAAAAACCAGTTAAATTACTAAAAATAATTTATAATTAAAATTAATAAGAGTAAATAAATTTAATTAAATGCTTATATTTTCATTGATTATCTATATTTTTACATGAGTACATTATTTTTTTTTAAATATTTATTAAATTTTCAATTTTGTATAAAAAAATAAAAATTTCATTAACAATATTTTCTGGGTGTAGTTTATTCTGTTAAAAATTATTATTAATTCTTATTAATTATTTAACAACTATAAAAAACATAAACTCCTTACTATAATAATCTTCAAAACACAATTTTAAACAAATACCAACATGTGCTAAAATTTACAATTGGTAGGTAATCGTTTTTCAAATTGTAATTATCAACATCGTGAAACACATTTGTATCTAATCAGATTTCTCTTTTATTTACTCTCCAAACAAAATATATGCAAATCCGTCACGTTCCGAACCATGGTTAGTATTATCATAACATACCAATTAGTCATAAGTCGTGTTAAATGTTATCAGTTTAACAGTCTATATAGGTAAAACACGACACTATTTGACTACGGATCTTTTCACGGATGTCATTGGATCGTCTTATTGTATTATTAGGCGATATTATTCCTTCGAGTCATTCATAAGCACAACGAAAAATGGTATGTTGTCAGGCTGTTGTTTTACGTTTAATTTTTCACTCGGTTTTATAAAACTCATGTACCTACGCAATATAGCAATTATTATTACCATCACGAAAATCTAGGCTAATGAAATACATTAGATATTATTCCAAAACAGCCGCGGCCGCACGCCAGTAAAAGTGCAGCAGGAAGCAGATTTAATTCACCTGTTGTCAAGTGTATACCTACAACACACGATACGCACTGTCGGTTTTCAAATTAATAATAATACTATTATGGTAATTCGTATACACACGCTCAAAGAAATGACCGATTTTTCTCACGTTCACGCTATGTCTTCTAACATTTTGAATACGATAGGAGTAATGATATGATGATAATAATAATAATAATATAGTGAAATTATTACTGTCACACGATGATTAACTAATTATTAATATTGATCACGTGGGTTCCATAAAAAGCGCTAAATACACGATAAAAGTGGGAGGACGGACGAATACGTAATTCCATACAATTTGGATGCGACGTCTGGCGTGTTTATAGGTACTTGGCGTGAAAATCATTTGAAATTGTCGCACACACGACGCGCGACGAACCGAAACTAATTGAAAACGTATTGAAAGAGTTACCGAGTAAAATGTTTGACATAGATAAATTCTACACCTTAATTGATACATTTTGATTCAATAATTAAATAAAACTTTTCTAATCGATTTTTATGCCCAATAAATATTTTAAGATGGCTAAAGATGATCAATCGTTTTTCTAAATATTTATATGATACAAATTTTTTATGATAGTTATTATCTATTTCTATTTTGAATGAATTGTAGATTTGTAGGCTTGTTTCCCATCAAATTAACTATATTCTGAACATAATTTGGTTCATTATTTTGAATAAATGTTATCATTACAATACTAACAGAAATACTCGAAACATTGCAACAGTTAACGTTTTGTTCGAATACACAAATTATTGAATTCAAAAACAATAAATATTAATTTTACAAAAATAATTTTAATATTTAGTTTGAAATAATATAATAGAGATATTGCTCTAAACATAATTCAGCCCGTTCGTTTGTATGGAAAAGAACTATATTATGTTAAAATAATTCAACGAAAATCTTATATTTAGTTGATAACTTGGATGTAACTTAAAACAAAAAATTAATATTTCTAGACTTTAAGTTTACTATTTAGTTTTATTTTAGTTTAGAGAATATTTTTTGAATATAAATTTAATTGTAAATATTAATATACTTTGATTCATAATATTATATTATAATAACTATTCCAGGTTAATATCAAGATACAATAATAAATTAATGTTTTTTAATTAATACACGTTTTTTGTATTATTATTATTTAACGTGTATTCAGTCAATAATATTGGTTTTGAATGTAATTTATAGTTAAGTACCTACCAGCCAGTCAAGCAATAATAGTTCATTTGTTTGATGAAATAAATTAGGTACGATGTACCTACAAGTTAAGATGGAAGGTGTACTTACATTAATTTTCATCATTCAAAATATTTTATAGAGTTTAGAATATAATATTACATTTCGAGTTTAAAATAATATCACGGGTTTTAATTTAAAAATGAAATACATAATATGAAATTGGGATTTATATCCAAATATAGTAAAAATATGTGATCACTTTGTGGTTAATATATTTTATGATTTAGATGTCTTATGTTGATTTACTTTTAAAAGTATAAACATGCTTAACATTTGAAGCTAAAGAAGTAAAAGAACAATGTTGATATTTTTGAGTTCTTGATTTTAGAATCTACTTTACTTTAGTATTTTTTAACTGTTCGGGAAATCTGTAACTGCCAAATAACATGATCATATTAAGCTTAAAAAAAATAGCATTAATATATATATATATTAGTTTTTCGATAAACACTACAGTAATTACCAAATAATATTAAAGCAACTTGTTTAATACCTAATTATACCTACTCATAGCAGTTAAATAATTTGTGAACCGGAGCATACCACGGAGATTTAGGAAACTAATTGTATATCATGTAAATTTCTACTGTACTAACCTGCTCCACTACATTTTTAAACATACCTACCAAGTATAAAAATCACTATATTAATGTATTAGGTTGTATAAAAAAAAACAACAGATAAATGATTGGATTAACTTTAATACTAGATCAATCTTTTTATACGTATAATGAATGTAACAACCAATATTCATACATATTATACTTATTAATATTTAAGATGTATTTCTTAAAATGATTTTATAATATTATGATTAAATTTTAAGATAATGATTATTCCTTGTACTCAATAGTTTTTTTGTATGTTACTTGTGTTTATAAAATATTATAACGTATATTAAAGTTAAAACATAAATAATTTGGAAATATGTATCTATAGTTAGTTGAAACAGTAAGCAGAGTAAAATATAATGAAAATATGAAAATAACAAACAAACGATTAATATTGTAGTGTTGTGTTATATTTAATCATAATGAAGATAATATATGGTGGATTTACGATTAGACATCGTTTTGACACACATTACAACTCACTGATGGTAAATCGGAGTCACTGTACTTGGATTCTAGCCAAATCAAGTTCAAGGCCCCTTATAGACAGTTTCAATGCTTTCTCTTTTTAATAACGTATTCAAATATGCTCGTTACTAATTGCTTTAATTAAAAAATTTTAAGTGAATTTAACATCTACGTCTAAAAATATGTTCGTTTTGGCAATATTCTTCAAACATGCCTGATGTTTGTAATTTAATTCAAATTGATGAACATGGATAGAGTAGATAAAACACTCGGTATATATTTAGTTTAGGCCTCATGATAATATTGGCCATAATTTGACTAACTACAGGTAATGCATATAAATTAAACTGATTTTTAAGATCTAGGTTGGTATTTCAATTGAAATCTAGGTACCTACCCGCTGGGTTTTATAGTACCTATTGAACGCAATATATTTAACAGTTATATTACCTATACTACAAAGATACACTTACGGACATCACTGTAATTATTTTAAGCATGACTCACTATAATAACGCCCACTTATACAGATTGACTTAATTAGGATAATTCAATAGAATAAGATTGCTAGAGTTCTGTTATAATCAGATTTTCTTACTTATCATCTTGTGCATGAATCTAGGCGATCTGGCGTCTCTTGCAGCCGGCAACACGTCCATTCGCAGAATTATGCCGCCATCGGGTAAAATTTTTTTGGGTGACAGACGAACCCTAGCACCGGGTCCGCCACCCAAAAAACTTGGTACAGTGGCTTCAAAATCGTGGGTTGCCAAGTATTTGGCACCCTTGTTGTACAGCCGCTCTGTGACGTCGGACCAGCCATCATCGACTACTGCTTCTTCTTCTTCCTGCAGAAAAACAAAATAACAATCAGCCCTCTCCCGATATGATGTAACACCTCCATGGGGGTGTGCATAAATTAATAAACTATAGATTATTGCTATTAAACCAGATTAAAACAGTTATTTCACAAAAAACCAGTTGACGGTCGTTGGTAGAAAAACTGCTGCTGACCGGTTTTAATAAGTTGAATGTTATTATTACGGTAAAATGTTCATATTGGTATATAATCTTATTGCATTAGGTCCTATTTAACGCGACTGTGGTGAGCAGTCACAGCACAGTAAAATTACACGACGAATGCAAACGAGCGATTCCTATAGGTTATTATAATGTCTGATGCTACGTATTGGCAAAATAGTGGGCCCGGTTTGCGGTTGTTGCGGTTAGCGGTCAAGGCGCGACCTAATCGACAGCCACCCGATTAAGTAAAACCGACGCAGCAGCAAGCGACAAATGAAAAATCCTCTTCGTTTCACGGATCGTTGTAGCCGTGGAGGATCGTGAAAATGCTTTCGGAAACGCAGACAATTTGTAGAAATCTAAATTACCATTTCAGGAGCTCGGGCTTCCCGATAGGACGTGGTGGTTGTCTCGTTATTTTCGGGACACATGGACTCGTAGTTGTTGGAGTTCTTCGTGAATATCAGCCCGTCGGTGATGTTAAAGTCGGATTCGAACGTGTGATCGACGTAATTGTACAGCCGGCTGCGCACGCAGTCCATCGTGTTCCTTGGACCGTCGCACTTGCCCATCAGATCGTCCCATAGCCCGTTGCCGCTGCTGGATTGCTGCACCGAACACAGCGACACCGGCGCCAACGAGACGGCTACGATCGACACCACAATGACCGCGGACCACGAGGGTAGATGATGATTGACGACGTTCGTCATCGTGTAACGCGAACGCTAACACAGTTGGCATCGCACTGACCGAACCGGCGGCGAGTCCGAGGAGTCCGCGTTCACCGGTTTCTTTGAGCGACGCGCGCGCCAGAGGGAGATAGTGTCGGTTTGGCGCGGAGAAAGGAAGAGAGCGAGCGAGAAAGAACAACATACGTATATTAAGAATGAATAGATCCCACCGCCGCCCGAGATGTGTAAACGAATCGAATGTATATGATGTGTATGTATACACGTGCATATTATAATTATATTCCATCAAATAGGTATATATATGTATACATATGTGCATATGGTGACCCCGATTTGCGACAGACGCATTTCGATTTCTTCCTCGTCGCCGTAGTCAAGATCTTTCGATTCACGCGTATATTTGCCGGAAATGACCGTGTTATCTCACAAAAACAGCCTAAAGTCCGTCTAGTGTTTAGTTTTATTTAAATTTTTTTTTTGAAAGGAGATCCGGATTTTCGAGTTTGAATCAATGCGTATTTTTTTTTTAAAAGTTTTAAAAACCATGGGTTGAAACATAATACATGTGTCTTATAGATTCAGATGTTAAATAAACAACGCTTTCGTTGCACTTATGGGTAGCAAAGTAACGACATCGAAACATCGAAATTCTACTCTATCCTAATGCCCGATAAACGGTGATATGGAGCTATCCGAATCTGCTATCACATTCTGGAATGTCACTTTTAAAGTTCACACGCGCCTACTTACTACCGTGGTTTACTTTACGACATTCTGCGTATTCTGATATTGGTAAAAGCATACCACACTTACACAAACACTTAATTTTATGATTGCAGTTTTCCTTTCTTTACTTTAATAATCGCCTACTTTTGAAGATACGAAATAAAAAAACAATTCGTGTTTTCTCTTCCTATTTCTCGCAACAGCAATGATGTAAACACGTTACACCGCCAGATTAAAATAACTACATTTGCCCTCATTTTTGTAATCGTCAAAATTACGGTCATTATCTCGTCAGTACATAGCTGGATAATCCATATATCGGTGAAACATATCTTTCACTGATTAAATTCAATCATTAAAATCATTCAATGGCTTATACATTTTACGTATAGGTTCGATAAGCTGTATGGATACTAAATAGTTCTTTTTTATCTATGGTGCAAATACTTATATACCTAATACATAGTATTTTATCGATCTTTTTATGCACTACTAATTTATTCATATTATATTTTCAGAATAGATTTTTTAGAACATCATTTCAAAACTTAAAAGGCTATTCAAACGTAAACAAAAATATATTATGCGTCTTGTTAATTGTATTATTCACATGTCTATAGTTATTGAATAATAAATAATTATTATATTAACAGTCTTATACCATAGCCATTATCCATGGATGTAATTTGTAAACAACAATATAGCTAATAGGTTAAAGTAGTATTATTAAAACGAATAACGCATAATAATGATAATATTTTTAAACGATTATTTAATTTTTAATAGTAACATTACTAATATGAATAATACGAGTTCCGAATATCCACGATTATTATATTATCATCACAATATTGAATATTGTGTATTGAACTGTTGTAACGTGCCCGGTAAAGGATATCATTATAATGGCGGTCGATGGTTATGTAAACCATAATGTAAGGTATCTAAAATAATATACCATGGATAAAGTACATATCAATTTGTTTAGGTTATATCATAATATATACAGGTGATTCTTTTATCAAACAACACCCATATAAAATATGCAAATATCCCCATCATATCATCCGACACACAATGTTTACTATAACGTAAGAAACTTACTAACTGCAACAATTTTCCATTCATAAATTTAGGCAGAAAAAGTATATAAATATTTGTATAGTATAGGTACATAGGTCTTTAAATATATTATATAAAATATGTTTTAAGTTTTTTTCTTTGAAAGATTATAAACAACGTAAATAATGTGTATCTAACCTGAAAGCTTGTACAAAATTAAGAGATTAAAATTTTATTGAACATTTGTATTATATT